TTCCTCTTCATGTGCCCTGTTCCTGTTAAATTCTTTCCCTCTCCATCCCCTGCTCTCTCTGTACTTTTCCTTCTCAACTTCAAGATATCCTATTCATTCCTTAATACACAAGGCAAGTATCATCTCTGCTGAGACTTCTTCTTAGCTTTTGCATTCAGATTTAACCACCATTTACCCGGAGCTTCCACAGTTCTTATGTCAGAGGCCTAAAATAAACTTATCAGTTTGTAGTATACAATATATCCTCCCCACCCCCCCGTGAGATGGTGAGGTCCTGGAGGGCAGGGTCGTGGCTGGAATAGCAGTGAGGAACACCACCTTCTCCCAACTGTCTCAAACATACTTCACCCTTGACAAGATTTCACCAAGCTAATCCCCAAATGTGTCCTAGGGAGTAGAGAAGTCCATGTCAGTCTCCTCTGATACTCAAATACGTTCTCTACTTTTCTCATGAAATCTGATGGAAAACAATTTCAAGTTCAAAAATGTGAGTTACTTTCCTATTTCTTATTTCCTTCTGCATACTCTTGGACAAAAATCAATACTTCTGTGCCTCAGATGTCTTGTCTGAACAGAGGGAATAGATGACCTGCTCGCCTCAAATTATTTTATCCTCGATTCAGATCATAAAACAGAGTAAGAAAAATGTACCTTGGAAAGTAAGATCCTATTATTATTGGATAATATCTTATTATTATTGGATAAGATCTGCTGAATAATTTGAGTCTGAGCTGGAAGAACCAGATGGGAATGCAGAAAACAGACACTAGCCATGCTCTGTCATGGAGGAAAAGCCTTTATGTTTCAAACTACAGAGACAGAGAAAGATTCGTGCTTAAAACAGCTACTAGGGGGCCACCTGGGTGGCTCAGTGGGTTAAAGCCTCTGCCTTCGGCTCAGGTCATGATCTCAGGGTCCTGGGATCGAGGGTCCTGGGATCGAGCCCCGCATCGGGCTCTCTGCTCAGCGGGGAGCCTGCCTCCTCCTCTCTCTGCCTGCCTCTCTGCCTACTTGTGATCTCTGACAAATAAATAACTAAAATAAAACAAAACAAAAACAGCTACTAGGATTGTTTAGACTCCATTAAACTCTTAAACCATAGCTGTGAGATTTTATTTTATTTTTCTCTGTTTTGAGGAAGGGGAAGAGATGGTAGGCAATGGAACAAAGAGATGGAGGCTAGAATGTGCCTAATTCAAATTCTTTGGGTGATTGATCCAATTTTTATTTACAGTATCCTGTGTAAAAACTTGGATATAGAGTAAAAACAGGGGTCAAGAGGGTCAGGAAGGCTGTGTTCTAGATGTGACTCTGCCACAGCTCTGGCGGGAATTTGGCAAGTCCCTTTAGCTTCTGGGGCCTGGGTTCCTCCATCTTTCAAATAAGATGGGGACTCCTTGTTGCTGTTTTCTCAGTACTTATAACACTCCTGGATCATATTAGGTATACATTTCAATTATATAAATATGATATACATATGTTTTCATTTATAGATAATATAAATATTATGTTTGTGTTCTTGTATGTAAAGATGAAAAAGGTATAGATACATAAATGAGGGTGTTAGTCAAGAGAGTAGAAATCTCTTTTAGATATAACATTCAAGTAGAGAATGCATTATGAACAGGCCTATTTTCTCCTTCCTTCCTTCCTTCCTTCCTTCCTTTGAGAGAGAGAGAGCGCTAGCATATGGGGGTTGGGGAAGGAGCAGATGGAGAGAGAGGATCCCAAGCAAGCTTATGCTCAGCATACAGCCCCACATGGGGCTCCATCTCATGACACTGAGATCATAACCTGAGCTGAAACTGAGAGTCAGATGCTTAATCAACTAAGCCACCCAGGCACCCTATTTTCTTCTTGATAGTAAGTAGTAGAACTCTTTGTTCTTCTTTCTAGGGTGTCAAATAGAATGTAGAAGAGTCAGGTAAAACATCACAGGAATCTTATTATTACCTCTGTGACCAAGGACAAGGGGTCACCCTGGGATTCAGTTTTCTGACAACAGGTATTTAGATTGTGAAGACTGGAGATCATCATGAAAACCATGTGTCCATATCTGTCACAGGAATGTTCACTGCCTTCTTGCTTCCTCTCAGTGGGAACTAGCACAGGGCCCATGCATAGTACCTGCTCAATAACTTGATTGGTGGTTTGAGATTTCTCAAACATAGTACAGTTATTTACCTATACATTTTAAATCTTGTGGGAATTTCTGTTTCAGTGAAGTTGCAAATCCTTCCAAAATTTCCTACTCACCATAGGATGTCTTAGTAAAATATGGATGGGGAGGAAAAAAAACAACAACAACCCAATTTCACAATAAGCATAGACAATCTCCAGGATTCTGTTCCTTTAAAAATTATGGTTCCAGTAAATTGAGTTTCTCATTCATGTTCAAGGCAGACTCAGAATGACTCAGAATTAGAAACAGATGATCGCTTGATACATCTTCTTTAGATTCCTCAGAACAGCAAATTTCTCCTTGAAATCCCCTCATACAACCCACCTTAGTAGGTTTGTACAATTCTTTCATATAAACCATTGAAACTGTGGGAAGAAAAGTAAATTGGGGGTCTGTTGATCCAGATATTCAGCAATAGAAAAAGTGGCTTTTTTATTTAAAAAATTTTTTTTATTTCATTTGAAAGCAAATGTTTAAACTTTCAAAAGAGCTTAATGGTGAGAATCAGTGCTTGAATATTTATATACTGTTAACACCAAATGAATCACAGGGACAAAGCCCAAGAGGAAGGTGTGACTCCATCACTCTGATTCCCAATGTTTAGCCACAAACACGGCATTTTTTAGACCTGGAATTGTCCTATGAGTTCTATTCTCCCTGAAGTAACAACACAGCAGAACTATTAACCCTCTTTTATGTTTAACCATCTCCGAGGTGAGCTGGCTGCTCCTGTGTTAATCACATTGAAAAAGTTTTGTTCAACTATTTAATGTACACAATGCAGGTTGCTACCCACTGTTTTGTTGTGTCAAAAATTTCTACCAACATTTCATGATGTCAAAATGCCTGGTTATTGGGAAGGTGACAATGACTAGTTAGTACAAACAGTATATGGAGAAAGTCAAAACAGTAGACATAATATCACCTCCAGGATAAGTATATTGCTGAAGGATGCCGTATCCTACATCTGTGTCCACGGTTCATTACGATGGAATATATGACTAAAAACCAGTCACACTATTCCCACATCCCCGAAGCTCCTGGTGAAACAGGAAAATAACCAGCCAGCAATGAAAAGTAATCCACAGGCACAATGTGGGATCTTTGCAGCATCTTTCTGACCTCACAGACTGTTGGTGGCATTTCTGTTGATTGGTCTGATTAGAGCTATTTCTCTCCTATTTTATTCTCACATTATTCTTCCCCCTTGTGTCTGACCAACTATATTCTTTCAAAAGAGAGTTTTATTTTCATGGAGTATTTTCTCTTTATCCTTCCTCCTTCTGTCCCTCCCTCCCTAATCCTCATCTATTTTGATTCTTCCCCTTCAAACCATTACATTAAAAAAAAAAAGAAGAAGAAGAAGAAGAAAAGAAAAGCTTTTAGAAAACTCCTCATTCCTACCCAGCTGCAAAGTTTTTTTACTTCACATTTCCTTCTTAGAAGAGATGACTTATTTTTCTCACTTAGACCAAGCATTTAGTGATTGACCAAATCCAGATTCACCTATTTCTTTTCTTCTTAGAGTAATGTCTTTTTTTTTTTTTTTTTTTTTGGTGGGAGTTGATGTGAGGGGTGTTCAGTTTCATGTCTCTTCCTATTTTTCTAACCTCTTTACCTTTGTTGTCTTCTAGAGTCTCACTCTTTATTCTCCTTTCTTTACTGATCAACTTTTCTTTACCACCTGTAGACTCACTACCAAAGTTATCAGCTTTTTTTTGTTTGGGGATAATTCTTATGCCAAGAATGTTGACCTCAATTTTGAATCTTTGTCAAGCACAAAACTATGGAAGAAATACACACACACACACACACATACACACACACACTTAGATATATGTGTATATTTTTGTCCATGCTAACTCTAATATCTCTTATGTTTTCTGGCATCCCCACAGCCGTATCCCCTCATGGGGATCTTTTTAAATTTATATAAAAATTTATATTTGCCTTTTTATTTTCTAGTGATAACCATAGCCCCAAGATATTCACCATTTGATCAGCCTCAAACACTGCTACCTATCTATTGTTTGAATTTGTTATACTTGGCCTTTAGGGCTCCTCAAGAAACCTGACCACTGACAACTTCTGTTGTTGTTGTGTTTAATGTAGCAAGACAAATTTATCAGTCTTTACCTCCATTAACATCCCATATCCCTTTAAGCATGTAGCTTTCTCTTCTAAACCTGTTAACCACAAAATTTGGTTTGATTACCTGCACAGGTCCCACAAAGAATACCATTCTTTCAACCCCTGTCACTTTCAAAAACCAACTTTCCTCATGGCTTTCAAAGACCACACCATACTATGTCAGATCAGAGACAAGGAAAAGGGGACAGGAAGCTCCTAATCAAAGAAACAAATACAACATTCAACATTGATAATCTTGCCTGCGTGTCTGTGTTTGTGTTTGTGTATTTCATTGACTATTAGCAGCACCTCTTTCTTCTTGTATTTTTGAGAACAGGAGCTTATTTTTCCGATACCATGGCTATTTCATAAATATCATGTTATTAACTTTAAAAAGGACATATAAATTAAGATCAAATATCACCCAGCATAAAATCAAAGGGAAAAAAAAAAAAGAGATCTTTTTTTTAAGTTCTATACATTATCACTGGCTGTCTTTCCATTCTCGTGACTCGTCTACATCTTTCAACAGTCCTTATTACTTTTAAACATTTTGTCAGATACTTGTATTTAATTGTTACAGCTAGCTAGCCCCCGACGGCATTATTATTATCATTATCATTATTCACTCTATAGAACTGCCTCTCCAGAACTCCCTCCGTCCCCAGCATTTGGTATTAAAACTTACCGCTTTTACCAACTCCCCCAGCTCCCAGCATTACCACCTTGTACTCTCTGGACCCGCCTGATGCGCGGCTAGGGGAGCAGCTGGCTTCGTTTTCTACCTCCATCTTACCCGAGAGACGGGAGGAGAAAAAAGAAAGAAAAAGTCGCCCGTGTCAGGTGCTTGCTCAGATATTAAGCAACTCTAAAACTGTGTCAAAAGAAAGGTTTAGTACGAGGTAAGAACCATCAGCGTCGGGCTGGCTGCTGGTCCTCTGCTGGAGCGGGTCTCATAGCAACCACTTCAATTGCTTCCAATAAAAATCTGCCTTTGCATCCCCCCTCCCTTCTTATCCTTCACTCTCACGTCTCCCACGATTTCTCTCGTTCTCTGTCTCTGTCTGCTGTCTTTTCTTACTCCCCTTTCCCTCCTCCGTTTCTTTCTTCCTTCCCCTTCCTCACTCTGTCTCTCCTTTCTCTCTCCTGCCCCCTGCACGGTCACAGTTGTTAGAAGCACGCATTTGGCTACTTTCCAGGCTGAGCTGCTCGAATGGAGTGAATCTGAGACTTAGAAGATGCTATGTCTCACAGGCTGACTTCTGTAGCGACAGCTTAAAAGACACTATTTTTTTTTTTAAATCAGAGCCAATTAATTAAGAAAGATGTCTGTTGCTTATCTCCTTGCTTCCTTCTTCTTGCATGGTTTTCATTCTGGGAAAAGAGATGTTACCAATTGAGAAGAAAAATGCCCCAGTAACTCAGGGCTCTTAAGGACGGGTCTTCAGTGCTGTTGAAATAATAGCTGGCTGGGAGAAATTGTTTCAGCTCACTTGACAGCTGCAGTTCTAACACACGGAGGTATTTGAATTAGGTCATTGTCATGTTTGGACATGGATCATCCTTGTTTACACGAGTTTATTAAGGATAATCTAAAACACAAGGATTCTGCCAAGCATGAAAGAGATACTTAATAAATATTTTTGCTGAAAATTATGGCAGTATTAAAGATCCTAGAAGATTCTTTTTCAAATGTCCAAACTCTTACCTCTTATTTGACTTCTTTCAAATTCTGCTCTTCTCTACTTTGTCTTTCTTTGAGAAATTTCTGAATTATAGAGGTCTTAGAATGCTTTCAGTAATCACTAATTGTCATAGTCAGACCCTATCGTTCAAACAAGTGATGATGATGTTCTGTATGTTTATTGCCTATTTTATGACTGTGAAATTGCATCATGATTAGATGCAGTCATGTATATTGTTACATAGGCTTACCTTTAGATGTTAAGCTTTTCTAGGAAAGGAACTATATTTAATCAGTTCCTTATGACTCCATAGTGTATGACCAAGCATTGGGCACAGAGGAGATGCTCAACATATTTTTGTTGGTAATCAGAGAGGTAACAAATAATCATAGCCAGGAACAGAGGCTCTGGATTCTGATTGCTTGTGTTCAAATCTGGCCTCAGCCACTTAATAGCTGTGTGACCTTGGGTAAATTACTTCACCTCTCTGTGCCTCAGTTTCTTCATCTATAAAATGGTTTATTAAAACCCTGCTCATTAAATGAGTTGAATGTTTGCACAGTGCTTTAAATGGTGTCTGGCAAATTGTAAGCACTATATAATTGTATGATATTATGATTATGATTATTATTTTGAGTTAATGGTGCTCCAGGCCTACTGTTTATAAGCACTCACCAGAAGAGAAAATCATCTCTACAAGTGTTTATTGGCCATCTACATACCTCCTTTGCTAAAGTATCTTTTCAAAATAGATAAATCAAGATGTTTTTTCTTCATTATTGAGTTTTCATAGCTCTCTATATATTCCATATAAGCATTTTATCAGATATATGTTCTGCAAATATTTCCCCCCAGTCTGTGGCTCTTCTACAGTGTCTTTCAAAGAACAAGAGTTTTAAATTTTGATGGAGCCCAATTTGTGTTTTCCTTCCAAGCTTTAAAAATGAACCTGCCTTCTGGACACTCCCATCAGACACCCTGCTTATATCACTCTTATCATCAACAAGGTCAATATCATTCTGGGTCTCTGCAGGGAGCATATCACCCTCCAAGTTCTAGCTTTTAGCCCAGTCTCTTCTCATGTTTGACCTCTGTGCCTGAAGAGTCCTACGACTTGTCCTCCCTGAGGACAGTCTCCCTGTCCTTTCCCCTTTAACACTGCTCAATTCATTCTGTACACTGTCAGGGAAATCTACTGAAAATGTAAACCTGACTGACCCTATTGTACACATATTCATGATTAAATGCCTAAATAATACAATCTAATAGCCTAGAATGGCACATAGGGACACAAAACATTTATATCAGTCTTGCATCATCACACTCTATAGAACAGAATCAGGCAAAATGGGCTACTTGCTCTTCTTCCAACAAAACTGTCATTTCTATAATTGGATCTAATAAAGAACTGTAGTTGTAGTATAATTATCCTTTAACTGATTCATTGAAACTTTATTCCTCAATGAAAAGAGATATGTAAACAGTAACATTTTGCTTCAAGGTCTTTCTGGGTTTTGTTTCTACTTCTGGTGCAAAATTCTTATGACCTTGAGTAAATCTCTTGTCCCTCTGGCTATCTGTTCCACCATCTGTTACTCTGTTTTCCATGTCAGCCATTCTGATTTGGTGGTAAAACACAGGAATTGTCATGCCAGCTGTGTCCTTGGTGGTTTTTTTTTTTACAATTATTTTAATATTGGTTAAGAGGAAAGAGCCCATGGAAATGTCTTTTAACAGTAAATAGATGAGTGGCTTGTCAAATATCAGTGGGCATTGTGAGAGGGAAATTTTGTGAATTAGCCTTCTCCTCAATGTTTAATGCATCTGTCCATACTCCTCAAATGGAAGTCAGCAAGATTTTTCCCTATTTACATAGAAGATGAAAAACATGAAGGGCAGGGGAACTTTCCTAGTCATAAGGCTTTCTTTGTCTACCTCCTTTTTGAAATTCTAAGGTCCTCCACTCTAGCCCCTTCTCTTAAGTTACTAAGGGCCACAAAACTCTTGACTGATATTTGAATTTTGAATCATTCTAATGCTAATGATTTTCAGTTTTTGTTAGTGAATTTTGTGAATTTGCATGCTTTGTTCCTTAAGCAGTGCACCCAAAAATCTAAGAGGGTGTGTGTGCACTCATGTGCAGGTGTATTTGCATATCAGAGATGAGGGTGAAGAGGAAGGGAGAGAGAGAAAGGAAGGGAAGGGGGGAGGGAGAGAGGACAGTATCTTCTAGGTGTATACATGACAACTGAAATGCAATAGTTAACTAACTAAAGTCATTACATGGCAGATTACTAAACTCAGAAAAATCAATAAATGACTGAAGTTTATATCTGCTTTCGCTAACTTACCCTGGCACTTGCCATCCTTTCTGAATGTCATGGGATTCCCTTTGCGTTCTTAAGTCCATCCAATGAAGACCCAGGTACTCCATGTTATTTCAGAACCACTCGGCTCCCTGAGCAAGATCCAAGTAAATGCCAGCTTATTTCTGTCAGCTGCTACTCACCTTTCTGTCCTTAGGGGATAAGCAATTTCTTCAAGAGGAATACATTAACCTATTTACATGGATATCTTTCTAAAGTCCTTTAGCAACAGCTCAAGTATCCAGTCCCTGTGAAAGCCATCTTACTTTACTCTAGGGGAAGGTTAGGCAAATCCAGAATTCTTCTCTTACTTATCTAGTCACTTACAGGCAGACCTCCTGACATCTTTGTTGGTATAAGCCACCCTTCCCTTTATTAGAGTATTTACAATATTTCTTACAATGATTTATTCTCATTCCATTTCACTCTACTCAAAAGTGGTGACCCTGTCACCATATTCACCTTTATCTCTCCAGAGTTTAGCATGGTTCCTGGTGTGTACTACTTGATGAAGCCATTTTTATTTAATGAGGGAATTAATTGTAGTAAGTGGTTGACTGTCTGTTGCACTATTAATTAAATTAACCTTTCAAAGTATATTATTTACTATTTGTATCTTAATGAAAAGATAAATCATGGAGGGAAGAAATAGTTAACAACTTAGTTGATAACCTCTGGGTAAATTCATGTTTGACATGCATGTTCTCACCATGAAATGTAAGACCGATGTAAACCAGAAGAGAGCACAAAAGCTCAGGGGAAACAAACAAAACTAAAAAAGAACTAATTTTGCAAATGGGAGGCAGCGGTCCATCTGCACAGCACAGACTTCTGTATCACATAGACCTCCTCATGATAATACTCAGTAAAATTCACATTAGGTCTTAATAATTCTTGTGGAATAACTCAACATTTTTTCCCTGAAGGGTTATTAAGGTTGAAATATGTGAAAATAGGGCTCTTATACATGGTATAAATAACCTGCATTCATTCATTTATTCATTCTAACATGGATTCATTCTTTAAATATGGATTAACTTGCTTATTCTCAAAGTCAGTCATTGAACTGTGTCTGGGTTTTTTAGAAAATAAAGGAAAACACAATAAAGTCCCTGAGTTTGCAGTGATTATGTCCACATGTGGGAGAAAGACACCTATACACCAGTTTCTGGAATAAGCCAGTATGTGCCAGGTAAATGAATAGAGGATTGAGCAGAGTGATAGCAATATGGTGAAAGGAGAGACTGATTTAAATAAAAAAACAAGGTGAGGTGTCAAGGAAGGGGGAGTATCTTGGACTAGATTTAAAACAGGTCTTCAAATAGAAGATATGACAAAAACAGGGTAGTTAAAGATTAGAGAATATGAATTGCAAATTAATACTACACGGTTGATGCATAAGAACATAGGAACACAGTCCAAAGTTTGGATGGTAGGTGAATCACTACAGGCTATAAATTGTAGCATACAGAGTTCAGGTTTCTTTTCTTCTCTTTTCTTTCTTTTTTAACCTTTATCTTTAAACAAAGCATGGTGCCCTACTTTGAATGTAAATAATACAAGCTTCTAATTAGAAGAAAATCAAGGTCTTGCTCAAGTTACTTTTCTTTAACTAAGCTTTTGTAACTTTTTCAAATCCCAATGATTTGAAACTAAGCTCGATTTCTATATATTTATTATTGCTGTACTCATTCATTTCACTTAGCATTCCATGATTTGCTGAACTGTAATCTATTTGAGAAGTGAGCCCCTTACATTTTTTTTAATATTTCCCATGATTCTGGGCCCAGGTTGCGACATATCAAAAAAGATCAATTAAAAAAAAGTTAAGACTTTTTTGACCAATAAACTTCATGGTAAAATCTGATGTCATAACTACAGATTACAACTTTTACTATTCAGTCATCAAAATTGACTTTTACCTTGTAAAAGCAAAATATTAGGGCTGAGCCTATTCAAACACATGGACAAGAAAATGGGGTGAATATTTAAACCACAGAAAAACAAAAAATTTTATATACT